TTTTTTTTTTTTTTTGCCAGTCCTGTGGACTGAACTCAGGGATTGGGCACTGTTCCTGAGCTTCTTTTGCTCAAAGTTAGCACTCTACCACATAAGCCACAGCGCCACTTCTGGATTTTTCTGTGGTACTGAGGAGTGGAACCCAGGGCTTCATGCATGTGAGGCAAGCACTCTACCACTGAACCACCTTCCCAGCCCCTGTAATTATTATTATTATTATTATTTGTCAGTTGTGGGGCTTGAACTCTGGGCTTGGGCGCTGTCCCTGTGCTCTTCAGCTCAAGGCGAGCCACAGCGCCACTTCCAGTTTTCTAGTGATTTATTGGAGATAAGAGTCTCACAGAGTTTCCTGCCCAGGCTGGCTTTGACCCGTGATCCTCAGATCTCAGCCTCCTGAGTAGCTAGGATGGCTTCTGGCACTGTAATTATGTTTTGATCACTGCTTTCATATAAAATAGTGGTATGTTATAGATGCATTCTTTATTTTTGCTTATTTTAGTATTTCTGTATTTTTTTTTGTCAGTTATGGGGTTTGAACTCAGGGCCTGGACGCTGTTCCTGAGCCTCTTTGTGCTCAAGGCTAGCGCTCTACCACTTGAGTCACAGCACCACTTCCAGCTTTTTCTGAGTAGTTTATTGGAGATAAGAGTCTCACTGACTTCCCTGCCCCAGTTGGCTTTGAACCACAATCCTAAATCTCAGTCTCCTGAGTAACGAGGATTACAGGCGTGAGCTTCTGGTGCCCTTTTTTTGAACCCAGCTGGCCTTGAACTCAGGATCCTCCCGCTTCCTCAGAGTGGAGACTGCAGGCAGGGACACCACACTCGGCTCCCCTTGATTAAGGTTCATTTTTGCCAAATATGATATAAAATTTTTATGCAACTAAATACGCCTATCTTTTCCCTTAGACTTTCTGGTTTCCTAGTCTTGGCTTGAAAGAGCTTCCAGAGTAAAAATTATATCTTTTCTGAATATTGTTTATGCCTGAAGTTTATTTTCCCAGTGTATGGTGAGATCGAGTTGGGAAGCTGGTTGGTCGGAAGAGCTTATTAAAAGAAACGTCCTTCTATTCACCTGTCTGCGCCCCTGATGTTAATACAGCAGATTGATAATGAAGTTGCTTTTCTTTGGTGCCAGTCCTGGGGCTTAAACTGGGGGGCACTGTGTGCTGTTCCTGAGATTGATTGGGCTGTGAAATTCTTCATCATTTTCTAGAGTAT